AAAAATACATATTATTTCTAATAATGGCATAATTTGGACACACAAATACGTAATGAATGGTGTCACAAGTGCTGGATAGGTCATTTGACATGCATCAGTTATATGTGAATTTAAAGCTCTACAGGCTAATCTGAGTCATGAAAGGATAGGACTTTGATTCTGTGAAAATAGAAATGCTAAAACATCTCCCGATTTTAACCATGCTATTACAGAATCTGTTCACTTGTTTTTGTATGTAATTTTTTTTTAACAATTACATCAATCTAATGATTGTTTGTATGTGTGACATGCCGGCATGTAGAGTGTATGTGTACAAGCGTGAACATACGCGTGTAAAAATGATGTATGTTTGGCTATGTACCAGTACACACATGTGCGTTTTTATATGCGGTTTGTATATTAGCATCATGATAGTTTCAACCGTAGGTACACTTAATCTAAACTTATGGTTTTGTGTACAGTTTATGTATATCACATGTTAAATGTCTTTGTAGGGAAAATTGCATATCAAAACTGTTATCTGGCAAGATACATTTCCTTGGTCCCCAGAAACATGTTACATGGTACTAAGCCGTCACTAGTCAATAAAGTAATTAACAGACAATTGCAAGTGATACTAACCACCCAACACTAATTGCCCTGTTAATCCCTAATCCACAATGAGTTGACATTGAGGTCATCTTGCTAATGAGCTGTTGTGAGCTTAGCGAGATGATAAACATCAAAGGTGGGACAGGCTTTGATCATGTGTTCTGTAGATGAGATGATGTCACTTGTTTAATGTTTATTTAGGATTAGCTACACCCCTTCATGCTACAAAGGCCGCCCTTGAGATTATCAGACAGTTTGTCTGGATACAACCTGATGTCTCAACTGTAGTTATTGGATTCTCCCTTGTAGCAAACTATGTGTGTGACTTTGACACTCTGTGCAGATGCATAACAATGCATAAAGAACTTGGGGTATGATTCAATTATGTCACGCAAGTCAAAGTTGGTTTCCACTGTATTTAGAAACAGACGATAGATCAAATACTGTTTAACTTCATAACAATCAAATGAGTATTCGAATAGGAAACATACACATATATTTACAATTACCCTTGAAAAATTCCAAAACCGGATAGAACTACGTTAATTATGATAACACTGTGCCAGACCATTATATTTGGCACTTTTTCCTGTTATTGTTAATCTTCATTAAGTTAATTTTCAAAAACGATAGGATAAATGATAAAAATATGATAATGATTTTACTCATGAATATTATCAGTAGCCAAATAAAGGGCAATCAGAGAGGGCAATCCACAAATATGACAGTCTCTAGGGGAGGTTTATGAAAAATTGATCATAAAATATATATAAAGTGCTTTGCATTTTTCCTTTTCAGGGAGAGTTATGTTAAACATGTATAAGAACATACCAGTACATGACCGGTCTCTTAAATAATTTTTAGTTGATGGTTCAGGTGGTTCTGTTCAATTGAATTTTTTTATCAGTGTCTATTTTGGTCTACCAATTAATGGTAGATATCAAATATCTATAATAAGTGAAATAATTATTTCCAATGTGGCTCCCATTGCAACTAAAGCAAGGAACGACTCAAATTAAGTCTGATTCAGCTGCTACATTGACATGTATTTGCTCCTCTAATCAGTAATTCAATCAGTTGTATAGTGACTTGATATATGGCGAAAATATCTGTTGTATGAAATCCTAATGTTACTTTCTTTTGTATTTGGCATGATAGGGTAGTCTAGTGGGTAAACCGTTCTCAGAAGCCCCAGGTTCTATTCCCGACATGGGTACTGTGTGAAAAGCCGGTTTCTGGTGTCCCTGCAGAGATATTGCTGGAATATTGCTAAAAGCCGCGGAAACCATACTAACTTGCTCACTCATTATATAGTATTTTGAGATCGTTTCCATGACTTGTGTGATTGAAAGATTTGATAATTATGAATAGTTCTGTTTTTATGTATAAGAACCTATTTTATGCAAGTTTGCATTACCTTGTTTGCCCTTCCTTTTTGATGTAATGCTAACATTCGAGAAAAATACAGGTGAGCCTTGTGGCACTACAGGAATTGGTTTTAGAAGATCAGATACAATTTTGTATTGTATTTGTTTGCTATGGCATATTTACATGTTCTAAAGTTAAAGGTTAACATGGTTACATATCAGTTGCTTGATGAATTGTCATTACCTTACTGATCGAGAAAACAACGTTTTATCCTTTTTCAATATATGTTTTTTTATTTTTTTAATAACAAGCTTTTAAAGATGTTATAAATTGTTTCAGGCACCTGTATTTCACAGTTGCTTAGACAAGCCATACAAATGACTCACCGGATGATGAATAATCGTCACCAGAACAACCAACAGGTTCACCTCAGAAAGTGATGATTCTGAATGAATAATGCCGCATCAGTGTGACCTGTGGGTTGTTTTATTACGACACTAATCAAGTCTGAAGGAATTAATACCACAGCAGTGTAACTATGTTTATGTGGTGTACACCGACACTGACTATACAAATCTGAATGGCTTTTGTAGTTTACTGCACAAACATAATTGACTTTAGATATTCTTCTACCTTGAAATTATTCTCCGATTTGACTAATTTGTTTATTTAGAAAATGGCATTGAAGCATTCTGTTTTTGATTTTTTTTGTAAACAGTTCGGGTTACTGAACCAATGAAATATCATACAATCAATAAATATTATTTTTTATCTGAACAAATTCTTTGTTTTGCTCATTAGCATAAAGAAATGTATTGTTTGTAGCGGCCATAAAATTTCCGAGTCCCGTGATGGCATTCGAACCACGGACCTTCTGATCACAGGTCGGACGCCTTGTCCACATGACCAAAGAGGTTAACCCCGTCAGCAAGCTGACAAGGTAAGGATGTCATCTGTGGGATGACTCCACGTCCTGCTACATGTTGATCAGCTATTACATAGGTGCTGAACATATATCAAATATACTAATGCCCTGAATGTTTTCCTACAATTAATACAGCTCCCTGAACAAAGTGTTTAGTTCCATTTCAGTAGAAACATTGATATTTCTATGTACCGGTACCTTATTAGGTGTTTTCGGTGGATGCCATTAGTCTTATGCACCTATTTGGGGCAATTATATTCTGTTTCTAACTTCAGTGAAACTCGTATGTCTAGATGTAACAAGTACTGATACCGTTCCAAAATGACCTTTTAAACTCACCAGGAACAAAGGCCAAAGTGAGCACATCGCCAGTGACTTTCATTTTTTGGTCAGTGTGTATGGCCAAAATATTCAAACAATATCATGATGGGTGACACCAAGCAATGGGCTTCACACATTGTACCGATGTGGTGAATCGAAAGGAAATGTAAGCATATCATAACAGGACTGACAGTTTTTCAATTAATACACTAAAACATCTAAAAAGAAATTGAAAAATATTTGCAACAAGAGTACACGCCCATAGATTTCAACTTTAGGGGGATATTTACAACTAAAATTGTATCCCGATACCTGCCGGACACCTACCGGATATCTTTAATCTTCTTCGTTAGTTTCAAACATACTTTTAGATGTTTTACACTTAATTGATCAACATGCAAAATGTCATGGAAGAAGTAAGTTACATCCCATTTTTCAAAGAGGCCGAATGGAGAGGTAAAGTATTTGGTGGGGAACGTTTTGAACAAATGTGTGATGATAAATGAAGAAAAAAAGAAATGCCCCGGGTGAGGATCGAACTCACGACCTTCAGATTGGTCTGACATTGGACGTATGACTGATTATGAGACTGACGCGCTACCTACTGCGCTACCGAGGCCTGGTGTGGACGGCGGGGATCGGGGTTTATATTTTTTAGAACTCACCAGTATGCGTCAACAAACGGGTCCATGCTGGAAACTATACTTTTTTAAGTGCCATATGTTGGACACTCCTAGGATGTGGTAGAACCCAAATGGAGGCTATAATGTGCGTGCCCGTAAACGCAATTAATTTCCTGTTCTTGGTAGAGATGATAACTAGTGTCCTGGAAGAAGTAAGTTACATCCCATTTTTCATGCCACTCAGTTGTGAGCACACAATGTGGTATGGCTCTTCAGATATCCGATGCCTGCATTTGTCACATATTTCCAGAGTAACGGCTCTATGGTGGAAACAGTGCTTTTTTAAGTGCCATATGTTGGACTCGCCTAGGTTGTTGTAGAACCCTAATGGAGGCTATAATGTGTGTGCCCGTAAACGCAATTAATATCCTGTTCTTGGTAGAGATGATAACGAGTGTCCTGGAAGAAGTAAGTTACATCCCATTTTTCATGCCACCCAGTTGTGAGCACACCATGTATGTGCTCTTCATATATCCGATGCCTGCATATGTCACATATTTCCAGAGTAGGATATTTTTCAAAGAGGCAGACGCAGAAGTAAAGTATTTCGTTGTAAACGTTTTGAACAAATGTGTGATGATAAATGAAGAAAATAAAGAAATGCCCCGGGTGAGGATCGAACTCACGACCTTCAGATTGCTCTGACATTGGACGTATGACTGATTATGAGACTGACGCGCTACCTACTGCGCTACCGAGGCCTGGTGTGGACGGCGGGGATAGGGATTTATATTTTGTGAACTCACCAGTATGCGTCAACAAACGGGTCCATGATGGAAACTGTGCTCTTTCAAGTGTCATATGTTGGACTCGACTAGGTTGTGATAGAACCCTAATGCAAGCTATAATGTGCGTGCCCGTAAACGCAATTAATATCCTGTTCTTGATAGAGATGATAACGAGTGTCCTGGAAGAAGTAGGTTACATCCCATTTTTCATGCCACCCAGTTGTGAGCACACCATGTGGTATGGCTCTTCATATATCCGATGCCTGCATATGTCACATATTTCCAGAGTAGGATATTTGTCAAAGAGGCAGACGCAGAAGTAAAGTATTTCGTTGTAAACGTTTTGAACAAATGTGTGATGATAAATGAAGAAAAAAAAAGAAATGCCCCGGGTGAGGATCGAACTCACGACCTTCAGATTGCTCTGAAATTGGACGTATGACTGATTATGAGACTGACGCGCTACCTACTGCGCTACCTACTGCTACCGAGGCCTGGTGTGGACGGCGGGGATAGGGATTTATATTTTGTGAACTCACCAGTATGCGTCAACAAACGGGTCCATGATGGAAACTGTGCTCTTTCAAGTGCCATATGTTGGACTCGCCTAGGTTGTAATAGAACCCTAATGCAAGCTATAATGTGCGTGCCCGTAAACGCAATTAATATCCTGTTCTTGATAGAGATGATAACGAATGTCCTGGAAGAAGTAAGTTACATCCCATTTTTCATGCCACCCAGTTGTGAGCACACCATGTGGTATGGCTCTTCATATATCCGATGCCTGCATATGTCACATATTTCCAGAGTAGGATATTTTTCAAAGAGGCAGACGCAGAAGTAAAGTATTTCGTTGTAAACGTTTTGAACAAATGTGTGATGATAAATGAAGAAAAAAAAAGAAATGCCCCGGGTGAGGATCGAACTCACGACCTTCAGATTGCTCTGACATTGGACGTATGACTGATTATGAGACTGACGCGCTACCTACTGCTACCGAGGCCTGGTGTGGACGGCGGGGATAGGGATTTATATTTTGTGAACTCACCAGTATGCGTCAACAAACGGGTCCATGATGGAAACTGTGCTCTTTCAAGTGCCATATGTTGGACTCACCTAGGTTGTGATAGAACCCTAATGCAAGCTATAATGTGCGTGCCCGTAAACGCAATTAATATCCTGTTCTTGATAGAGATGATAACTAGTGTTCTGGAAGAAGTAAGTTACATCCCATTTTTTGATGCCACCCAGTTGTGAGCACACCATGTGGTATGGCTCTTCATATATCCGATGACTGCATGTGTCACATATTTCCAGAGTAGGATATTTTTCAAAGAGGCAGACGCAGAAGTAAAGTATTTCGTTGTAAACGTTTTGAACAAATGTGTGATGATAAATGAAGAAAAAAAAAGAAATGCCCCGGGTGAGGATCGAACTCACGACCTTCAGATTGCTCTGACATTGGACGTATGACTGATTATGAGACTGACGCGCTACCTACTGCTACCGAGGCCTGGTGTGGACGGCGGGGATAGGGATTTATATTTTGTGAACTCACCAGTATGCGTCAACAAACGGGTCCATCATGGAAACTGTGCTCTTCCAAGTGCCATATGTTGGACTCACCTAGGTTGTGATAGAACCCTAATGCAAGCTATAATGTGCGTGCCCGTAAACGCAATTAATATCCTGTTCTTGATAGAGATGATAACGAATGTCCTGGAAGAAGTAAGTTACATCCCATTTTTCATGCCACCCAGTTGTGAGCACACCATGTGGTATGGCTCTTCATATATCCGATGCCTGCATATGTCACATATTTCCAGAGTAGGATATTTTTCAAAGAGGCAGACGCAGAAGTAAAGTATTTCGTTGTAAACGTTTTGAACAAATGTGTGATGATAAATGAAGAAAAAATAAGAAATGCCCCGGGTGAGGATCGAACTCACGACCTTCAGATTGCTCTGACATTGGACGTATGACTGATTATGAGACTGACGCGCTACCTACTGCGCTACCGAGGCCTGGTGTGGACGGCGGGGATAGGGATTTATATTTTGTGAACTCACGAGTATGCGTCAACAAACGGGTCCATGCTGGAAACTGTGCTCTTTCAAGTGCCATATGTTGGACTCACCTAGGTTGTGATAGAACCCTAATGCAAGCTATAATGTGCGTGCCCGTAAACGCAATTAATATCCTGTTCTTGATAGAGATCATAACGAGTGTCCTGGAAGAAGTAAGTTACATCCCATTTTTCATGCCACCCAGTTGTGAGCACACCATGTGGTATGGCTCTTCATATATCCGATGCCTGCATATGTCACATATTTCCAGAGTAGGATATTTTTCAAAGAGGCAGACGCAGAAGTAAAGTATTTCGTTGTAAACGTTTTGAACAAATGTGTGATGATAAATGAAGAAAAAAAAAGAAATGCCCCGGGTGAGGATCGAACTCACGACCTTCAGATTGCTCTGACATTGGACGTATGACTGATTATGAGACTGACGCGCTACCTACTGCGCTACCGAGGCCTGGTGTGGACGGCGGGGATAGGGATTTATATTTTGTGAACTCACGAGTATGCGTCAACAAACGGGTCCATGCTCGAAACTGTGCTCTTTCAAGTGTCATATGTTGGACTCACCTAGGTTGTGATAGAACCCTAATGCAAGCTATAATGTGCGTGCCCGTAAACGCAATTAATATCCTGTTCTTGATAGAGATGATAACGAGTGTCCTGGAAGAAGTAAGTTACATCCCATTTTTCATGCCACCCAGTTGTGAGCACACCATGTGGTATGGCTCTTCATATATCCGATGCCTGCATATGTCACATATTTCCAGAGTAGGATATTTTTCAAAGAGGCAGACGCAGAAGTAAAGTATTTCGTTGTAAACGTTTTGAACAAATGTGTGATGATAAATGAAGAAAAAAAAGAAATGCCCCGGGTGAGGATCGAACTCACGACCTTCAGATTGCTCTGACATTGGACGTATGACTGATTATGAGACTGACGCGCTACCTACTGCGCTACCGAGGCCTGGTGTGGACGGCGGGGATAGGGATTTATATTTTGTGAACTCACCAGTATGCGTCAACAAACGGGTCCATCATGGAAACTGTGCTCTTTCAAGTGCCATATGTTGGACTCACCTAGGTTGTGATAGAACCCTAATGCAAGCTATAATGAGCGTGCCCGTAAACGCAATTAATATCCTGTTCTTGATAGAGATGATAACGAATGTCCTGGAAGAAGTAAGTTACATCCCATTTGTCATGCCACCCAGTTGTGAGCACACCATGTGGTATGGCTCTTCATATATCCGATGCCTGCATATGTCACATATTTCCAGAGTAGGATATTTTTCAAAGAGGCAGACGCAGAAGTAAAGTATTTCGTTGTAAACGTTTTGAACAAATGTGTGATGATAAATGAAGAAAAAATAAGAAATGCCCCGGGTGAGGATCGAACTCACGACCTTCAGATTGCTCTGACATTGGACGTATGACTGATTATGAGACTGACGCGCTACCTACTGCGCTACCGAGGCCTGGTGTGGACGGCGGGGATAGGGATTTATATTTTGTGAACTCACCAGTATGCGTCAACAAACGGGTCCATGCTGGAAACTGTGCTCTTTCAAGTGTCATATGTTGGACTCACCTAGGTTGTGATAGAACCCTAATGCAAGCTATAATGTGCGTGCCCGTAAACGCAATTAATATCCTGTTCTTGATAGAGATGATAACGAGTGTCCTGGAAGAAGTAAGTTACATCCCATTTTTCATGCCACCCAGTTGTGAGCACACCATGTGGTATGGCTCTTCATATATCCGATGCCTGCATATGTCACATATTTCCAGAGTAGGATATTTTTCAAAGAGGCAGACGCAGAAGTAAAGTATTTCGTTGTAAACGTTTTGAACAAATGTGTGATGATAAATGAAGAAAAAAAAGAAATGCCCCGGGTGAGGATCGAACTCACGACCTTCAGATTGCTCTGACATTGGACGTATGACTGATTATGAGACTGACGCGCTACCTACTGCGCTACCGAGGCCTGGTGTGGACGGCGGGGATAGGGATTTATATTTTGTGAACTCACCAGTATGCGTCAACAAACGGGTCCATGATGGAAACTGTGCTCTTTCAAATGCCATATGTTGGACTCACCTAGGTTGTGATAGAACCCTAATGCAAGCTATAATGTGCGTGCCCGTAAACGCAATTAATATCCTGTTCTTGATAGAGATGATAACGAGTGTCCTGGAAGAAGTAAGTTACATCCCATTTTTCATGCCACCCAGTTGTGAGCACACCATGTGGTATGGCTCTTCATATATCCGATGCCTGCATATGTCACATATTTCCAGAGTAGGATATTTTTCAAAGAGGCAGACGCAGAAGTAAAGTATTTCGTTGTAAACGTTTTGAACAAATGTGTGATGATAAATGAAGAAAAAAAAAGAAATGCCCCGGGTGAGGATCGAACTCACGACCTTCAGATTGCTCTGACATTGGACGTATGACTGATTATGAGACTGACGCGCTACCTACTGCGCTACCGAGGCCTGGTGTGGACGGCGGGGATAGGGATTTATATTTTGTGAACTCACCAGTATGTGTCAACAAACGGGTCCATGATGGAAACTGTGCTCTTTCAAGTGTCATATGTTGGACTCGCCTAGGTTGTGATAGAACCCTAATGCAAGCTATAATGAGCGTGCCCGTAAACGCAATTAATATCCTGTTCTTGATAGAGATGATAACGAATGTCCTGGAAGAAGTAAGTTACATCCCATTTTTCATGCCACCCAATTGTGAGCCCACCATGTGGTATGGCTCTTCATATATCCGATGCCTGCATATGTCACATATTTCCAGAGTAGGATATTTTTCAAAGAGGCAGACGCAGAAGTAAAGTATTTCGTTGTAAACGTTTTGAACAAATGTGTGATGATAAATGAAGAAAAAATAAGAAATGCCCCGGGTGAGGATCGAACTCACGACCTTCAGATTGCTCTGACATTGGACGTATGACTGATTATGAGACTGACGCGCTACCTACTGCGCTACCGAGGCCTGGTGTGGACGGCGGGGATAGGGATTTATATTTTGTGAACTCACGAGTATGCGTCAACAAACGGGTCCATGCTCGAAACTGTGCTCTTTCAAGTGCCATATGTTGGACTCACCTAGGTTGTGATAGAACCCTAATGCAAGCTATAATGTGCGTGCCCGTAAACGCAATTAATATCCTGTTCTTGATAGAGATGATAACGAGTGTCCTGGAAGAAGTAAGTTACATCCCATTTTTCATGCCACCCAGTTGTGAGCACACCATGTGGTATGGCTCTTCATATATCCGATGCCTGCATATGTCACATATTTCCAGAGTAGGATATTTTTCAAAGAGGCAGACGCAGAAGTAAAGTATTTCGTTGTAAACGTTTTGAACAAATGTGTGATGATAAATGAAGAAAAAATA